CCTGCAGCTCCATGGAGAAGCTGAGGCCTGCTGACATACTGTATGTAATGTGGAAGGGGAATCAGGAGCTGGAGCACTGTATTGTCATCTAGGCAAGAGAGAGAGGAGGTGGGGGAGGTGGAGGTTTTCCACCTGAAAAAAAAAAAAAAATTAAAGGTCAGTAGCTACAAAAACTGTAGCTGCTGACTTTTAAAATACAGCCATTTACCTGTCCCTCGGTGCAGCGGTGTCCTCACCACCACTAGATTCACCTGCTATCTTCTCTCCCTGGCGCCGGCATCTTCAGTGTGGGCACCCGGCTGTGACAGCTTGCGGCTTCACAGCCGGGTGCCCACTGCACATTAATGAGAAGAGCTGCGCTCTGTGAATAGTCCTGTAATCTACGGGGAGGGAAGGGGGGAGGATGACTTCCGCTTCTGATCGCCTAGGCGATCAGCAGCGGAGGTGGGAGTGGGTACCTGTCAAATTCGGGTACCCGCTCCCCAAAGGTGCCAAACTTTAATGGGGAGCTGGGGGACAGAGTCTTAAAGTGGAACTTCCCCTTTTGGGTGGAGCTGCATTTTAAACTCTAGGAATGCAGAGTATTCCATAAAATGTCTATTCCACGACCTAACAATTGCACATAGAATTCAACAGGAACAGGACGCATTAAAATCCGGTATATATTTGGGGAATACTGTATCATACCTAATACATCAAGGTCATACATGACTACCCTAGCACATACAAAAGGAAAGAAAGCAGTCGCCTCCCTCCGGGGTGACAAAGGTACGCTGTGGTTGGTATCCCTGGATACGAAATATAATACTGAATAATATTCTGCCATTTTCTAGAATACCACCTGCATGTATTGGAAGTGATTAATATTAGTGTAAAACTATATTTGGAAATTGGTTGTAAATGTATTGGCCTCCCAGCACCCATCCCTTAAATTGGATTATAGGTGGTTTGTCTCTGTCCACACCGCATTGATATCATAGAAAAGGGACTGACAGGACTTGTTAGAAAAGCTCTTGTTTTACCATCGACCAAGGAACACCCAAGAGAGCTGCGGCAACGTTTTTGCTTGGACAATTGGACTCTGCTAAAACCAAGGACTTTGCAAGTATTTTGCCTTCTTAACTTCTTTCTATTATTCTCTATTGCTTTAGCTCTCTTTAATTATTTGTAACATTCCTTTCTGTAAATATTTTAATTGCACCATTTGACTTTTTCATTGAATAACTCTACTTTGAAAAGTGTTAAAATTATCTCTAAGGCTTTTAATGAAAACTAAAGAATCCCTGTCTCTTGGAGAGTGCTACTGTATATAATAATCCTCTGAATATAACTGTCTGTGGTGATGGTATGTGTTACAGACGTTTATTGTTCACATTTGTTCTTGCTAACACTGTGAAGGGTTTATAGTCCCATAGCTATCTGGTGGCAGTTTAGAGTTTGAAGGGTTAATTGTGTAATTAACCTAACCCAGTGACAATCACTCTCAGGCTGCTGGTAGTTAGATTGTGGTCCCGTGAGCTGGAAAATCTTTGAGCAAGGTGCAGCTGAGGGTGGCATTGTTACGCAAGTTACAGCATGGTGCGAGATCAGCTGCTGAGTTGGTGAGAAAGTCAGGGGTTGGGCACCACGTTCGTCACAGGAATAATATTTCTTACCAATCATCGACCAATCCTGCCCTGCTGTCCTCCTGGTTGAAGAATGAAGCCGCTGAGTAATGTGATTGCCGGAGTGTCCGCGCTAAATATCGGGACCCTACTGAGCATGTGTCAATTGGGATATGACGCATGCGTAGTAGGGTGACAGATTTTTTCGGGAACCTACTGCACATGCGCCAATCGGGATCTGATGCATGCGTAGTAGGGTGGCAGATTTTTCATGGCCATACTTTGCATGCATTGGTCGGGATCCAACACATGCACAGTAGGCACACAGATTTCTCAGGACACCACTGAGCATGCCTCAAAAGGGATTAGACACATGCACAGTAGGGTTGCAGATTTTTCAAGACCTTACTTTGCATGCGTTGGTCGGGATCCAACACATGCGCAGTAGGCACACAATTTTTCAGGACACTACTAAGCATGCCTCGAAAGGGATTAGACACATGCACAGTAGGGTGACAGATTTTTGAGACCCTAAAAATGTGAATTAACTCAAGTGCTTGCTATGGTGAATACAAAATATAAATAAATAAGTATAATATGAATACTGTAGCCGCTAGTGCACACAACCCATGTCTCAGTGGGCTAAATAATGAATAATGTCAATGAAAATATGCTGCGCTACAAATAGCAAATGCACAAAAACCTATAAAATATATATGTGTAGAATGGTGATAACAAAAACAAAAAATTGTGTGACACAAAAAAACTAATCAAAATTAATATTCCAAAAAAATATATAATCAAAGTCCAATTATTTGTGTTCTCCTGTGACCTGTCCTTGAGATGATGACCATCGTGTGAATCTGTCACAGAATTCCAGTGCAAAACATCCTCCACCATAACTCTGCTGACCTGTTGCTTGTGTTGAAGCATGGCACCAGTGAGACTGAGCCACTGAGACATCGCTTGCTGAGCTGGGACCACAGCTGGAATTGCCATGAGTGTGTGCAGCAAATGAGACCTACGGAGGACCAGAGCTGAGAGACTGAGCCTTGTGAGGACTTGTTCGGGAGACCTATGTCATCAGGTTCCAGGTACACGAGGACAGAAAATTTTGAAAAAGACGGTATTTTCTCATTTCTGTTAAAAAAAAATATCCAATAAACTCAAATTTCATTATAAATTTAGACCAACATGTATTTTACTATATGTCTTTGGTAAAAAAAAAAAAATTTTTTACTTTTTAATGTACAAAAACAGAATAAACTGGCTGATTGTTTGGTAAAACATAAAATATCATGGAATATCGAGTAAATAGATACCAAACATGACATGCTTTAAAACTGCGCACGCCCCCCGTAATGGGATAAACTGCATACATTTTTTATATCCATAGGCGGCGCGTTAAAAGCCTTTACAGGCTACCGTTTTAGATTTACACAGAAGGTCTAGTGCTAGAATTACTACCTTCGATCTGACGTTCATGGCGATACCTCGCATGATGCGACCGCTGTTTACTGAAGGGGTGTGAGGGTGCTTTAATTTTAGTTCTTTTTAATTATTATTTAATTCTTTTTAATTATTTTTATACTGTCCCTTTCATTTCTTTTATCACTTTTTATTGTTATCACAGGAAATGTAAATATCCCCTGTGACAGCAATAGGCAGTGACATGTATTCTTTTAAGGGAAATTTGGGGTCTATTAGACTCTAGATATCTCCTCTGCCCTTACATCATCTGATCTCACCAAGTTCAGTGTGATCAGATGTTTTCCAAATTTACAAATGGCGCTGTTTATATCCTGCAAAACTGAAGTGATGAAATGCTCGTAGCTTCCGGTTTTTCTTATAGAGATGATTGGCGCCATTCTGATCTCCAATCAGCTCTATGGTCAGCTGGAGGTATGTCCTGACCCCGCCCACTGACCCATTGTAGAGGGGAGGGCTGTTGGTGACCCTTGGCCATTTAAGGGCAGACAGGACACTTGGTTGGTTCAACTCTGAGGAAGGGGGCTCGACTCCAGAAACGCGTTAGCTTTCCGACCAGATGGTTCCAGGAGCACCGATGAATAGAGACTATTGATGTTTTACTTGTGTTTATTTAGGATTGTTACATTGTATTGTTTTTTTTACAGTGACACAATGTATGGGTTATGTAGTGTTATCACACATGATTTTTCTTATTACATGTATTTGGTAACAAAGATTTTCTACACTTTCCCTTTTAGGTATATCCAGTATACACACTGTGATAGCCTTCCAGATTTAATTAAACTTTATTTTTAATCTTGATTTTTTTAAATTCATCTTTCCCCCCCCCCCACCCTCCTCCTTTAGGATTTCGAACCCTTGTGCTTTACGGGAAAAGGCCGACTTCATATCCATTTACCAGTAATGAAACTGAAACCAAAGCCTCTGAATATATAAAAGGGGCTTGTTTTGACACAGCCCAGTAAAGTATTACTACTACTACTGGACTTTTAATAGTGCCAGATTGCTTAACCACCTGCCTACAGGAACAACGCAAACACAACATAATACTCAATTTTTTGTTAAAATATAAAAGAAGGGGTTGTGTTGAATAGTAACCTATTCTAGGAGGATGCTTCATTTAATAGCCTTTACAGGTTATCATTTTACAGTTACCTGTGAATTATGGCCCCAGAATTATTGTTCTTACTTTGATGTTAGCAATGATATGTCACATGAGTGGTGTAATCAGTGTTTACATACATGTGCAGGACCTCTGCTCACATGTCCATTTTGTGAGTATATGCGAGAGGGACTGGAGTGATTTTATATTTTTTATTATTTTTATTTATTTTATTACATTTTTTTTTTTACACTTCTTAATTATTTTTTTTTCATTTATCTTTATTGCTATTTATTAGGCCCCTAAAGTCTCTCCTATAACACATTACATCCTAGAAGTGTAAAAAAATACTCACCGTGCATCCTAAAAGTGTAACTGGACCTGCTTTCACTGCTGGAGCCATTGTTTAATTTTGGACACATGTATTAAAATTGCACACACTTTCTAAACCCCAAAATGTATATACTACTCTAGTACAGAGCTGCCTAAGAGTAGTTTCCACAAAGGCTGGTAGGTGGCAGCACAACACATAATAACAGTATCCAAGAGAACAGAGTATAAGAAGAATAGTGCAAACACCAGGAGACTGTAGCTGGTAGCCCAGAAAATCGCCCACAGGGTTCTCTGGACAGACTTCACAGAGGGAAGGCAGAAGAAGGTTGCAGTCTGGATGTCCAGGTAGCAGCAGGAGTCCCAGGGATTGCTGTACAAAGAGGAGACTGAGGCTCCATGTACACTGCAGCTGATAAACTCACGTTTAGGAGCTTTTATGCATTTTTTTTTTCAGCAGCCCCTGACTCTCCCTAATGTTTTCATATGTGTCCATGTACACATCGTTGTTTACAGTTGTTTACAGGCAGTTGAGTTTACAGTTGTTTTTTGTAACGCACCAAACTTGCATTCAGGAGTACATTTTTTCAGCGTTTCAAACACCAAACGCTTGTAAATGCGTGTAAACGTAGCTAATTGCAGCTAACTGCATTTAGAAGCGTTTGCATTTGAAATTTTTTTTAACTCTTCCATTTCCAGATGCTGTCCAGAGCCTTTTTTCATCATGAAAAATGCATGCAAAGCCTTTTCCCGGTACTCAAATGGACCCGGTACACCATACTTTGAGGTTGCACATGAAAGAAAATATGTTAGACACTGCTGCAATCATTTCTGCACAGAAATGAGCTGGAACACATCCAAACACCACAAAAAAAAAAAGACAGTTAATCTCATCACCAAGGGCGGACTGACAACTCATGGGGGCTCCCGGGCAATAGGGGATCATGGGGTCCCTGTGTCCTTGCCCCAAACTCAAAAAGCCTATGAAAAAGGTACCAGGGGGCGTCTCATGGGGCCCCCTACTACCCCGGGCCCTCGGGCAGTGCCCGAGTTTCCAAATGGTTAGTCCACCCCTACTCATCACATACTGCTCTCTCTGCTTCTACTCTCTCTATTTCTCTCAAAATGTCTGAAATAGTTAATTTTTTACTGTTTTTTCAGTACATTCTGGGCATTTTGGAAGGTCTCCTGAGGTTATGTTTAAAAAACGCTTCTAAACGCAAACGCACATAAACGTGGTATGCAAACGCTGGTAAACTGACGTTTTTTAACCTACATTTTCCAGCAGTCAGTTTCCATCGTTCAGAAGTGTGTTCCAAACATCCCGTGTACATGGAGCCTGAAAAGCAGAAATATGGGGCCAACTAGCACAGTAGCCACCGCAGTGACTGGGACATAAAGGATAAGTTCACCTTTGGGAGCATGTTACATGTTACACTCATTTTTTAGGGTGGAACATGTAACATGATCCCATAGGTGCAGCAGCACCTGCTGCCCCCCCCCCCCCCTCTATGAAGCTCAATTCACATGCAATTTATGTGCCCATACACTGTGCAATCCCATCACCGTCACAATTCTGCTTTCTGCTCTTTAGTGCTCCGGTGAGTGAATTTGTGCAGAGTGGATGGGAGCGCAGGGCTCACGGCCATATGTATGACAGATTGGATGCCTTTCATGCATCCAATCTGTCATGCATATTGCCATAAACCCTAATATTTATAAAATGAATAGAAACTATTTATTTACTTTTTGTGTTTATTTAGGATGGTTACATTGTACATTGTATTTTATTCACAGTGACACAATGTATGGGTTATGTAGTGTTATCACACATGATTTTTCTTATTACATGTATTTGGTAACAAAGATTTTCTACATTTTCCCTTTGAGGTATATCCAGTATACACACTGTGATAGCCTTCAGGATTTAATTAAACTTTATTTTCAATCTTGATTTTTTTAAATTCATCTTTCCCACCCCCCACCCCCTGCCCTTAGGAATTCGAACCCTTGTGCTTTACGGGAAAAGGCCTGACTTCATATACATTTACCAGTAATGAAACTCAAACCAAAGCCTCTGAATATATAAAAGGGGCTTGTTTTGACACAGCCCAGTAAAGTATTACTACTACTACTGGATTTTAATAGTGCCAGATTGCTTAACCACCTGCCTACAGGGACAACGCAAACACAACATAATACTCAATTTTTTGTTAAAATATAAAAGAAGGGGTTGTGTTGAATAGTAACCTATTCTTGGAGGATGCTTCATTTTATAGCCTTTACAGGTTATCATTTTACAGTTAACTGTGAATTATGGCCCCAGAATTATTGTTCTTATTTTGATGTTAGCAATGATATGTCACATGAGTGGTGTAATCAGTGTTTACATACATGTGCAGGACCTCTGCTCACATGTCCATTTTGTGAGTATATGCGAGAGGGACTGGAGTGATTTTATATTTTTTTATTATTTTTTATTTAATTACATTTGTTTTTTACACTTCTTAATTATTTTTTTTTTTTTTTCATTTATCTTTATTGCTATTTATTAGGCCCCTAAAGTCTCTCCTATAACACATTACATCCTAGAAGTGTAACTGGACCTGCTTTCACTGCTGGAGCCATTGTTTCATTTTGCACACTTGTATTAAAATTGCACACACTTTCTAAACCCCAAAATGTATATACTACTCTACTACAGAGCTGCCTAAGAGTAGTTTCCACAAAGGCTTGTAGGTGGCAGCACAACACATAATAACAGTGTCCAAGAGAACAGAGTATAAGAAGAATAGTGCAAACACCAGGAGACTGTAGCTGGTAGTCCAGAAAATCGCCCACAGGGTTCTCTGGACAGACTTCACAGAGGGGAAGGCAGAAGAAGGTTGCAGTCTGGATGTCCAGGTAGCAGCAGGAGTCCCAGGGATTGCTGTACAAAGAGGAGTCTGAGGCTCCATGTACACTGCAGCTTATAAAACTCACATTCAGGAGCTTTTCTGTTTTTTTTTCAGCAGCCCCTGAACTCTCCGTAATGTTTTCCTATGTGTCCATGTACACATCGTCGTTTACAGTTGTTTACAGGCAGTTGAGTTTACAGTTGTTTTTTGTAATGCACCAAACTTGCATTCAGGAGTACATTTATCAGCGTTTCAAACACCAAATGCTTGTAAATGCGTGTAACCGTGGCTAACCGCGTTTATAAGTGTTTGTATTTGGAATTTTTTTTTAACTCTTCCATTTCCAGATGCTGTCCAGAGCCTTTTTTTCGTCATGAAAAATGCATGCAAAGCCTTTTCCCGGTACTCAAATGGACCCGGTACACCATACTTTGAGGTTTTGCATGAAATAAAATATGTTAGACACTGCTGCAATAATTTCTGCACAGAAATGAGCTGGAACACATCCAAACACCACAAAAAAAAGACAGTTAATCTCATTAGATACTGCTCTTTCTGCTTCTACTCTCTCTACTTCTCAAAATGTCTGAAATAGTTAATTTTTTACTGTTTTTCAGTACATTCTGGGCATTTTGGAGGGTCTCCTGAGGTTATGTTTAAAAAACGCTTCTAAACGCAAATGCACATAAACGTGGTATGCAAACTCTGGTAAACTGATGTTTTTTTAACCTACGTTTTCCAGCAGTCAGTTTCCATCGTTCAGAAGTGTGTTCCAAACGTCCCGTGTACATGGAGCCTGAAAAGCAGAAATATGGGGCCAACTAGCACAGTAGCCACCGCAGTGACTGGGACATAAAGGGTAAGTTCACCTTTGGGAGCATGTTACATGTTCCACTCATTTTTTAGGGTGGAACATGTAACATGATCCCATAGGTGCAGCCGCACCTGCTGCCCCCCTCTCTATGAAGCTAAATTCACATGCAATTTATGTGCCCATAGACTGTGCAATCCCATCACCGTCACAATTCTGCTTTCTGCTCTTTAGTGTTCCGGTGAGTGAATTTGTGCAGAGTGGATGGAGCGCAGGGCTCACGACCATATGTATGACTGATTGGATGCCTTTCATGCATTCAATCTGTCATGCATATTGCCATGAACCCTAATATTTATAAAATGAATAGAGACTATTGATTTACTTTTTGTGTTTATTTAGGATTGTTACATTGTACATTGTATTTATTCACAGTGACACAATGTATGGGTTATGTAGTGTTATCACACATGATTTTTCTTATTACATGTATTTGGTAACAAAGATTTTCTACATTTTCCCTTTTAGGTATATCCAGTACAGGGGCGGACTGACCATTTGGAAACTCGGGCACTGCCCGAGGGCCCGGGGTCAGTAGGGGGCCCCATGAGATGCCCCTGGTACCTTTTTCATAGGATTTTTTGAGTTTGGGCAAGGACACAGGGGCCCCATGATCCTCTATTGCCCAGGGGCCCAATGATTTGTCAGTCCGCCCCTGATCCAGTATACACACTGTGATAGCCTTTCCGGATTTAATTAAACTTTACTTTAATCTTGCTTTCTTTAATTCATCTTTTCCACTCCCCACCCCCCTCCTTTAGGATTTCGAACCCTTGTGCTTTACGGGAAAAGGCCTGACTTCATATACATTTACCATAAATGTAACTGAAACCAAAGCCTCTGAATATATAAAAGGGACTTGTTTTGTCACAGCCCAGTATTAAGCACAAAGAGATAACAATATTCATGTCACTGTTTTTATCTTCTCCATAAAATAGTTCATCTACTGGAATTTTAATAGTGCCATATTATTTAACCACCTGCCTACAGGAACAACGCAAACAACATAATACTAAATTTTTTGTTAAAATATAAAAGAAGGGGTTGTGTTGAATAGTAACCTATTCTAGGAGGATGCTTCATTTAATAGCCTTTACAGGTTATCATTTTACAGTTGACTGTGAATTATGGCCCCAGAATTATTGTTCTTACTTTGATGTTAGCAATGATATGTCACATGAGTGGTATAATCAGTGTTTACATACATGTGCAGGACCTCTGCACACATTTGCATTTTGTGAGTATATGCGAAAGGGACTGGAGTGATGTTATATTTTTTATTATTTTTATTTACTTTATTACATTTTTTTTTTACACACGTTTTTCAGCAGCATCAAGCTCAGCCAATAACCAGGAACAGATTTCCCAATAGGCACTGTAGGCATGTGCCTACAGGCACCCTTCCTAGAGGTGGCGCCCATCTGAATGAGTTTTTTTTTAGTTGATCTTACTGTCTTTTTTATTGGAGGGGGTGCCCTTCAGGATTTTCTGCCTATAGGCTCCTGTGATGTAAATCCAGCCCTGCTGATAACTGATCAGCTGAGATCAGAACTGCAATGCATGAGCAGTGCAGCACAAATGGCTGGATTGGAAACTGTCCTTACTGGAGCTTGTTTCTGTGCATTGATAGTTACAGACAGGGGAAAAGCCCCCTGTTTTTTACAGTCTGTCCCCTCAGTAATAGACAGTTAGTAACTCTGCTCCGGGGGGGGGGGTTAGACCCCCCTACCCACCTATTATTTATGCCCCTGCCTGCAGCTACACTCATGACTATCCCGGTATCAAAATTTGCAGCTGGTAGTTCTCTATTTTGTAGAAGTCATTTGAGTGGCTATACAGCCACTCAATCACTTCTACAGGCGCTGGAAGAAGGTGCCCCCCTGTAGGGGGGGCGGGGGCCTGGACGAGCTGCACTGACTACACCATGTTGTAAGAGGGTGGACTATGCCAGGTTGTGGGCAGGGTTGCTCGCCCTGCACATGAGGTACCTTTAGTCTTCATTTACTGGCCACTGGACTCTGCACTCTCCACTGGACTCTGCACTGGCC